TTGGGAGGGGGAGTGTCAGCCAATGGGTCTTGAAAGATGGGGGTGAATCATGAATTGAGAGGGGAAAAAGGGGTTGAGTGGTGCACTTGGAGTCTGTGGAGACAAAAAACTTTTTTCCTTTGGAGGCAAAAAAGGGGAATGTATGAGGTATAGTTTTCCCAAAACGCCCCTTTTAAAAGGGTGTGAAGCATGGTTTAAAAAGAATGTTGCGCGAGGAGAGGGCGGAGGCAGTGGAGATGTCATGCCCTGAGAGAAAATGGGTGGTGTGAAATTTTAAAAAGCGAAAATTTTCGTAGTTTGGAAATTTAAAGGAGGAGGTGCGGGGGGATTACCAAAAACTGTTGCCCAGGGGAGGGGAAGGGGTTTGTTGAGGGGGTTGGACATTTTAAGAAAATTTGGAGGGGAAACGAGGGTTTAAAGGGAGTGATCGGCTTTTTAGGGGAAGGAAGGGGGGGGGGTGGGGGTCGGCCAAAAAAAAGGTTGGAGGGAGGGGGTAAAAGGTTTTTTGGGTGTGCGGGGGGACTTGGACTTCCAGGAGGCATGCGTGGGGCATTTTTTTGTAGGAGGTAAATGGAGAAAAATGGTTTTTAATACTTGACGTATGTTGGGTGTGACCCAAAGTAACTTTTTTGAAAGGGGTTCGGGGAAAAAAACTGGCAGACGGGGCTTGGTCCTGGGGGATGGGAAGAAAGGGGCTGAAACCCCGGGAAGGGGGGGGGTTAATGTTGCAGTTTAAAAACTTTAGTGTAAAGCACCCCTTGGCAAGACAGTGATGGGAGTGAAAGATGGTGAAAAAATTTTTTTTTTTTCGGGCCAACCCCCGCCTTGGTGGGAATCGGCCAGTTTGATAATAATAATTTAATTTAAAAATTTAAAAAATAATAATAATAATAAAAAAAACCCCCAATTCACCAAATTTTTAAACCAAAACCCCCCAATTTCCATCAAAATTAAAAACCCAAAAACCCACCGTACCATCCCAAAAATTTGTTGATACCCTCAATGCCATTTAAAAAATTTTGCCGATACATCAAAAAAAAAAAAGATTTCTCCCCCATTCCATTAAAATTTGTCAATTTCCCCCCAATACCATCAAAATTTTGTGATACCCAATACCATTTAAAATTAGTGATACCCAATTTATACACCAAAATTTGGGAATACCGTGTAAAACCCCCTCTTATTAAAGCTCCCCCTTTATTTTTGTGATTTTTTTTAAAGCAATTAAAAAAAATCCATCTAAAATTTTTAAAAAGTGTGCCCCCTATGAAGATCCTTTTTCCAAAAAAAAAATCAATTTGGATTTAATTTTTTCAATCGCATTTACAAAAAAAAATTTCACTACATTTTTGCAAAAAAGCTTTATGTGAGCAAATAATAATTTTTGCAAAGTATCGCATCAGGGTTGGGAAATCGAAATTTCAGGCATGAGGGGCCGGGGCTTTTCCCCCCAAAATTTTCCAAAATTTTTTCGGCATGAAGATGATATTTTTTTCCCCCAAAATAAGGGCTCAAAAAAAATTTACCCGTGTTTTTGGAGGGCTGAAAGTACAGTTTTAAACTTTTTCCAAAATTTAGCCCAAACCAAATTAGGGGGGGGGGTTTGTTCCCCGACCCCCGGGGCATCTTTTTCACCATAAAAAAACCCGTACCCCCCCCCCAACCCCAAAAACAAAAAATTTAAAAACAATACAAATTTTTGCCTTTTCGCAGTACAATTAAAGGGAGTTTTCATAAATATAATACAGCCTCTCCTCACTTAACGACGGGGGTTTTCCTTTTCCCAAGACCCGTCGGTTAAAAAAAAATTCGGCGCTTTAAATGAGGAACATTTTTCTTTAAAAGGTTGTGAGTTGTTTTCAACCCTCTTTGATTTTGTTTTAGTGTCACCTTTGCACCAATTTTTAACATTTTTGGTTTTTTTTACATGTTTTAACGTAGTGTACTGTTGTTGTAATAAACAGAAAAAGAGGGAAAACAAAACTAAAAATAAAATTATTTTGGTATGCCCTATGGTCAGAGGCATATTTATTTTTTCCCAGTCGTTGGTAAACAAGTACGTCGCTAAGTGAGGGAGAGGCTTTTATTGGTAAAAATCAAAGAAAGAAAAACCAAAAACAACTACCAAAATTATATGTGGAAAATTTAAAACCTAAAATCCAGGAGCAAATTTTTTAAGATAAAGATTGGGTTCACACATGTACTTGCCCCGATCTGGAAAAGGGCGTTTCCCGAATTGTTTTTCTGTTCGTACTCATCCATGTTGAATCCCTTCTACCTGAACAATAAAAAAAAAAAAGTTATGGTGTTCTCATATTAAAACCTATATTATTATTCTTTTTATTGATGAGTACTTTCAAGGAATTTAAATATGAATTTACATTCTTACAAATTTATTAAATGACTTGAATAAGCACATAAATGTTATTGCCATACAATAGGGGTAAATTATTCAGATTAAACCTAGGATAAATGGTTAGCCAGAGTTGATTCCTGGAAATGGGAAGTACAATGGCTGCACTTTAAAGGAGGGGTTTGGGATATTGGCGGTTTGGAGGGACCTCTGAACTGTCATATCTGAGCGCCTCTGCAAAGACAGTGATTATGTATGAGTGAAGTGAAAGTATTGAATGATGATGAAAGTATTTTCTTTTGGGGGATTTTTCTTCTTTTTAGGTCACCCTGCCTCGGTGGGAGACGACCAACATGTTAAAAAAAAAAAAAAACTGACACGTGTCTCATACTACACTACGGACCACTACCCAACTTTTCTCATAACAAACTTAGGTAAACTGCCTCAGGACACAACTAAGATCTCTTTTCAACTACACAATGAGTCATCAGTAAATAATTTTATTACTGCCTTATGTAACATTGACTGGCTGGCTGAGTTAGCGGACAGCCAAGACATTGATGAATGTCTCAAAATATTTCTACACAAAACCCATAACCTCTATAACAGACATTGTCCAATGAAAATAAAGCAGATCTCAGCAAAAAGACTAAACAGCCCTGGCTTACCAATAGTATACTTAAATCTAACGATAAAAAACATCTATATACTCAGCCAGTAATTATTGGAGTGCCACAGGGAAGTGTCCTAAGTTCTCTACTCATTCTTATTTACATCAATGACCTCCCAAATGCATCGCAATTCCTTAAACCAGTTCTATTCGCAGATGACACCACTAACGTCTTCTCCCACCCAAACCCAGCTATACTTGGTGACACTGTAAACAGTGAGCTACATAAAATATCAAACTGGATGACCACCAACAAACTTACTCTCAATATAGACAAAACCTATTTCATGCTTTTTGGAAACAGAGCATTAAATATCCAGCTAAACATATTGATAAATGGTTCACCCATTACAAGACACACTGAGGGCAAATTTCTAGGTCTCCACCTTGACTGTAATCTTAAATTTCAGACCCACATCCAGCATATAACTAAAAAAGTTTCCAAAACAGTAGGTATCCTTTCCAAGATGCGATACTATGTACCCCAAAGGGCGCTCCTTACTTTATATCACTCTCTAAAATACCCTTACATCACCTATGGTATTTGTGCTTTGGGGATCTACCACAGCCAATCACCTTAAACCTTTAATAACCCAACAAAAAAGAAGTCGTGAGGATGATCACAAACTCCTGTGCCAGACAACACACCCCACCACTCTTCAAGAGCTTGAACTTACTTAATATACAAAATATACACACTTATTATTGTGCCTACTATATATACAGAACATTAAACTCCAATATCAAACCTCCACTCAAACTTCTCCCAAGCTGGGTAGAAACACTGGGTGTGTTTCCTTACATCTGCTGTCATTGTTCACCTAGCAGTAAGTAGGTACCTGGGTGTTAGCCGACTTGTATGGGTCATATCCCAGGAGACAAGATTAAAGGACCCCCACTGGAAATAAGACAGACATTCCTTGATGATGCACCGCCTCCTTGGGTCATCCTGGCAGGCTAACCCTCCTCAAGTTAAAAATCCCAACAAATCTTATCTTATCTTAACAAAATCAATACAACTTATTTCTATACAGCATACAAATGAAACATACGTATTACTGCACTGGTCTACATCTTCTATAACGGCATTTTCGATGCTGCGCTTCATAGTATGAGCAAAGAATACTTTCCACAAGCTCATGGATGGAAAATCTTTGAATACCAAGTTTATACAGTATTTACATAATAGGGAAAATGCCTTCCCAGAAATCCATAGCTCCCATACCCCAAGTACAAAGTATTAGTCTATACAACTGAAAGAATGTGGGTTCAAATCTGTGAATGAGTGAGTGAGTGAGTGAATGAACCAGTGAGCAAGCAAGTAAGCAAGTTTATTTTGGTACAGGTACACATAAGTACAATTATCATACATAGTAACATATAGGAGGGCCCCACTTATACAGCAGGTTAGACTCAGGGCCCCACTCATACAGCAGGTTAGGCTCAGGGCCCCACTTATACAACAGGCTAGGCTCAGGGTCCCACTTATACAACAGGTTAGGCTCAGGGTCCCACTTATACAACAGGTTAGGCTCAGGGCCCCACTTATACAACAGGTTAGGCTCAGGGTCCCACTTATACAACAGGTTAGGCTCAGGGCCCCACTTATACAACAGGTTAGGCTCAGGGTCCCACTTATACAACAGGTTAGGCTCAGGGCCCCACTTATACAACAGGTTAGGCTCAGGGTCCCACTTAGTAAGTAAGTAAGTAAGTAAGTAAGTAAGTTTATTCAGGTATACACAAATACAGTTACATAGAATTATCATACATAGCAGCATATGTGTAGAGAACCTAGGATAACCCAAAAAAGTCAGACAGAGTGACTTATTTCCATTGGGGTCCTTATATACTTATACAACAGGTTAGGCTCAGGGCCCCACTTATACAACAGGTTAGGCTCAGGGCCCCACTTATACAACAGGTTAGGCTCAGGGTCCCACTTATACAACAGGTTAGGCTCAGGGCCCCACTTATACAACAGATTAGGCTCAGGGTCCCACTTATACAGCAGGTTAGGTTCTGGGCTACTGCTGTAAAGTGAAACATAACTTTTTTTCACTTCAGATACATACAAAAGCCTATTAACATGTTCACACTATCATATATTAAGCGAGCAATAGAGATAAGCCTAAATAAATGGAATAAACAGTACGCACACATTATTTACCTTAAAATATTTTCATCCTTAGCTTATAGTGAGTGGTGAATATAGTTATTGTAGAAAGTGTGTATAAATGAAGAATGGGAATATGTAATTGAAAATTGTTGTATTAGTTTAAATACAGTAAAGTGAAATGGGGCCCTCCTGTATGTGCAAATTATCCACCAGGATAACCCAAAAAAAAGTCAAAGTGACTTACCTGGAGAGAGTTCCGGGGGTCAACGCCCCCGCGGCCCGGTCTGTGACCAGGCCTCCTGGTGGATCAGAGCCTGATCAACCAGGCTGTTACTGTTGGCTGCACGCAAACCAACGTATGAGCCACAGCCCGGCTGTGGATAAGTCTCTACAAAGCTGCTGCTATTTGTCACTAATATAAAAAATACACCCAGTAGTTAGTCTACTATCATTAGTTGTATCATGGGGAAGATGACCTACCAACGCCTACAGCAATAAGCCACACAGCTTGACCTTCCTGGGTTTTCTGGGTTATTAACCTTCAAGGGTTAATAATCCAAGGAAATTTTTCTTTGCTGGAAGGTAATATACCTAAATGAAATTGTAAGTAAGTTTATTTAGGCAAAGGTACACATGAGTACAATTATCATACATAGCGTAAATTACCTAGGGTTATCATAGGTAATTTACAAAGTGACTTATTTCCATTAGTGTCTTTTCAAGGTTTAAGAAACTCATATGCCACAGTAATGAATTATAAAACAGGTTTCAAATATATAGATGAAGAAATAAAAAAAAAACATTTAAAACATATATTCGGGCCAAAGCAAAATACACAGCTGTATGCGACTCACTGAAATATGAGGAGGAACATTAGACAAGGTTCCAAGAACACCTATACCAAAGGAATGGAAGACAATTAGGTTCAATCCAAGGAAGGGGGAGGGTATCCCTAACACCTTGGATCAAGAGCCTTAAGCAGTACTTATAATAGGTCACACACAATGTACATAATGATGACTTAACCTAGGATAACCCAGTAAAACAATGCAACTCTATTATTTTTATTATATAAGAGGCAGAATTAAATCACTTAAAAATTACAGATATATTTAATCCTTAACCTATCCAAAGCTAGATCTACGTTCGCTCACGTAGCACTCCAATCGTGAAAAAAATAGGTCTACGTTTGGATAGTTTAAGGGTTAAGGGAGAGTCGTTGATGCTCCCTTTCCATGAAACAAAACTGACTGCCATCCATTACCCCCAGGTGCTGTCACCCATACAAATTTTGTGCTTTCCCTACATGAATGTAATAATAAGCAATAACAATAAATAATAATAAATAACAAATAATAACATATAATAATAAATAACAAATAATAATAAATAACAAATAATAATAAATAAATAATAAATAATTTAGCTAACATATTTCATAAATTATATTATATGGGAGCGTTAAACCTGTAAGGGTCATACAGCAGCCGGATGATAAAGAGGTGTGAAAGCCAGCCACGTTTGACTCAAGGAAGTGGAGGACAACTCCAATTCCCTGGACCAAGAGCCCCTTCACCGGCCTCCAGGAACCTCCCTTCACCAGCCACATGAACCCAGTCTGAAGAAAATCTAAGTAAAGTAAAGTAAACTAATGTAAGTTTATCCGGGTATACATAAATACAATTACATAAATTATCATACATAGCAGCATGTGTGTAGATTATCAACCAGGATAACCCAAAAAAAAAAAAAGTGACATTTCTATTTCTAAAATTATCATATTAAAAAATGCGTTAAACTCGTATGGGTCTTACCTGGTGGTAGATTATCTGACGACCAATAACAACCAACAATATTCCTCAAATACTGACACAAATAACGAGAAATTCTGTTGGTTCATCTATGATTCTTATTGTTGGTTTATAGGACCTCCTGAGGTGCCGCCGTTGTCTTCTTGGTTTATAGAACCTCCTGAGCTGCCGCCGTTGTCTTCTTGGTTTATAGGACCTCCTGAGGTGCGCTGTTGTCTCCTGGTTTATAGGGACCTCCTGAGGTGCCGCCGTTTTTCTTGGTTTATAGGACCTCCTGAGGTGCCGCCGTTGTCTTCTTGGTTTATAGGACCTCCTGAGGTGCCGCCGTTGTCTTCTTGGTTTATAGGACCTCCTGAGGTGCCGCCGTTGTCTTCTTGGTTTATAGAACCTCCTGAGCTGCCGCCGTTGTCTTCTTGGTTTATAGGACCTCCTGAGGTGCCGCCGTTGTCTCCTTGGTTTATAGGACCTCCTGAGGTGCCGCCGTTGTCTTCTGGTTTATAGGACTCTGAGGTGCCGCCGTTGTCTTCTTGGTTTATAGGACCTCCTGAGGTGCCGCCGTTGTCTTCTTGGTTTATAGAACCTCCTGAGCTGCCGCCGTTGTCTTCTTGGTTTATAGGACCTCCTGAGGTGCCGCCGTTGTCTCCTTGGTTTATAGGACCTCCTGAGGTGCCGCCGTTGTCTTCTTGGTTTATAGGACCTCCTGAGGTGCCGCCGTTGTCTTCTTGGTTTATAGGACCTCCTGAGGTGCCGCCGTTGTCTCCTTGGTTTATAGGACCTCCTGAGGTGCCGCCGTTGTCTTCTTGGTTTATAGGACCTCCTGAGGTGCCGCCGTTGTCTTCTTGGTTTATAGGACCTCCTGAGGTGCCGCCGTTGTCTTCTTGGTTTATAGGACCTCCTGAGGTGCCGCCGTTGTCTTCTTGGTTTATAGGACCTCCTGAGGTGCTGCCGTTGTCTCCTTGGTTTATAGGACCTCCTGAGGTGCCGCCGTTGTCTTCTTGGTTTATAGGACCTCCTGAGTGCCGCCGTTGTCTTCTCTGGTTTATAGGACCTCCTGAGGTGCCGCCGTTGTCTTCTTGGTTTATAGGACCTCCTGAGGTGCGCCGTTGTCTTCTTGGTTTATAGGCTCCTGAGGTGCGCCGTTGTCTTCTTGGTTTATAGGACCTCCTGAGGTGCCGCCGTTGTCTTCTTGGTTTATAGGACCTCCTGAGGTGCCGCCATTGTCTTCTTGGTTTATAGGACCTCCTGAGGTGCCGCCGTTGTCTTCTTGGTTTATAGGACCTCCTGAGTGCCGCCGTTGTCTTCTTGGTTTATAGGACCTCCTGAGGTGCCGCCATTGTCTTCTTGGTTTATAGGACCTCCTGAGGTGCCGCCGTTGTCTTCTTGGTTTATAGGGCCTCCTGAGGTGCCGCCGTTGTCTTCTTGGTTTTAGGACCTCCTGAGGTGCCGCCTTTGTCTTCTGGTTTATAGGGCCTCCTGAGGTGCCGCCGTTGTCTTCTTGGTTTATAGGACCTCCTGAGGTGCCGCCGTTGTCTTCTTGGTTTATAGGGCCTCCTGAGGTGCCGCCGTTGTCTCCTTGGTTTATAGGGCCTCCTGAGGTGCCGCCGTTGTCTTCTTGGTTTATAGGGCCTCCTGAGGTGCCGCCGTTGTCTTCTTGGTTTATAGGGCCTCCTGAGGTGCCGCCGTTGTCTTCTTGGTTTATAGGACCTCCTGAGGTGCCGCCGTTGTCTTCTTGGTTTATAGGGCCTCCTGAGGTGCCGCCGTTGTCTTCTTGGTTTATAGGACCTCCTGAGGTTGCCGCCGTTGTCTTCTTGGTTTATAGGCCTCCTGAGGTGCCGCCGTTGTCTTCTTGGTTTATAGGACCTCCTGAGGTGCCGCCATTGTCTTCTTGGTTTATAGGACCTCCTGAGGTGCCGCCGTTGTCTTCTTGGTTTATAGGACCTCCTGAGGTGCCGCCGTTGTCTTCTTGGTTTATAGGGCCTCCTGAGGTGCCACCGTTGTCTTCTTGGTTTATAGGACCTCCTGAGGTGCCGCCGTTGTCTTCTTGGTTTATAGGGCTTCATGATGTGCAGCCGTACTCACCTATTTGTGGTTGCAGGAGTCGAGTCATAGCTCCTGGCCCTGCCTCTTTACTGATCACTACTAGGTCCTCTCTCTCCTTGCTCCATGAGCTTTACCATACCTCGTTTTAAAACTCTGTATGGTTCCTGCCTCCACTACGTCACTTGCCAGACTATTCCACTTCCTGACAACTCGATAACTGAAGAAATACTTCCTAATATCTCTTTGACTCATCTGAGTCTTCAACTTCCAATTGTGACCCCTTGTTTATGTGTCCCGTCTCAGACACATCCTATCTCTGTCCACCTCATCGATTCCTTGCAGGATTTTGTATATCGTTATCATGTCTCTCCTGACCCTTCTGTCCTCCAATGTCGTCAGGCTAATTTCCCTTAACCTTTCTTCGTTGGACATTCCCCTTAGTTCTGGAGCTAACCTTGTTGCAAACCTTTGCACTTTCTCTAATTTCTTGACATGCTTGACCAGGTGTGGGTTCCAAACTGGTGCTGCATACTCCAGTATGGGCCTAAAGTACACGGTGTACAGAATTTTAAATGACTCCTTACTGATGTATCGGAATGCTGTTCTCAGGTTTGCTAGGCCCCCATATGCTGCAGCAGTTATCTGGTTGATGTGCGCCTCGGAGATGTGTCGTATTATATCTCCAAGATGTTTTTCCTTGGGTTGGTTTGCAGGTTTGGCCCCCTACCTTACTCTGTTGCGGTCTTCTTTCCCCTTCCCTTGTCTTTGTTTTTGCATTTGGGGGGGATTAATTCGAGGACCCAGTTGCTGGACCAGGTGCCCACCCTGCCAGGTTTTTTGGTCCTGTTTGACCCTATTGTTTTAAATTCCCTCATTAATTCCATCATCTGCAACGGGGGACATTTTCTGAGTTATCTTTCCTCATGTCTTCACATTCCCAAAAATAGCATGGTCTAGGACTGACTCTGTGGGCCCCCGCTGTTCAGATCCCCCACTGGGTACCTCATACGTACCAGACTTGTTGCATTTGTCGGGATTTTTTGATCTATTGCAGTGCCTTCCTGTTTACGCGCCTATCCTCAATTCTGCACTAATTCTTTGAGGAACGTGTCGAAGGCCTTCTTGCAGCCCAAAAAATGCGTTCCCCACCCCTCTCTCTGTTTACTTTCGTTACCTTGTCATAAAACTCAGTGGTTGTGCACAGGAGTTGACTTCCATAAATCATGCAGGTTGTCATTTAAAATTATTTTCATTCCGGTGCTCCCCCCACTTCCCCCTGAAATTTCCCCATGATTTTGCTTTTCAAACCGTAGTGACATGGAGTTTACTGGAGGAGAGTTCCGGGGGTTTAAAACGTCTCCGCGGCCCAGTCTATGCCCAGGCCCTCATGGGGGTCAGGGCCCTGATCACCCGGGGCTGGTACTGCTGGTGCACGAAATCCAAGTACGAACCACAGCCCGGGTGGTAGGAAACGCTTTAGTGCTTGTCCAGTGTGTTTAAAGATACCCAAAGTTTTTGGTAATCCCCTTAAGTATGCTGGGGGGGAGTTGAAACAGTCTTGGGCCCCTGAACTTACTGTGTTGTCTTTTAACGTGCTGTGACCCCCCTGCTTTTCTTGGGGGGGATTTTGCATTGTCGTCGAGTTTTTGCTTTTTGGGGAGTGATTTTCGTGGCAAGTTTGGTATAACCCCTCTAGGATTTTCCGGTGTTTATATGTATCTCCCCTGCCTGGTTCCGGGATACAGGTTCAGGAATTCAAGCGCTCCCAGTAATTGAGGTGTTTTATCTCATTATTCAACTGGGAAAGGTTCGCTATACTTTTCTGGAAACAATTTCCCTCCCTTAAAAGGTGTGTTAGTTGCAGCAATTTTCCACCCTAGATAGAAAAAGTGACCTGAAGGTGTCATCATGGGCTTGGATCCCTATTTTTGGGGAAGGTTCTAATTTTAGTCCACGTGTGTTATTTTTTTATTTTTTTTTTTTATCACAGGGCCCGTTCCCCCACCAAGGCAGGGGGGCCCGGAAAAAAGAAAAATTACCTCATTCGCTCCTTCCGTCTTGCCAGAAGGGTGCTTTAACTACATTTTTTAAACGCAACATTAAACCCCCCCTTCAATTTGAGGCACTGTACTTCCCATTCCAGGACTAAAGCCCGGCCTCCCGGTTTCCCTGAACCCCTTATAAATGTTACTTTGCTCACCCCCAACAGCAGCAAGTATTAAAACATTTGTCCCCATTCACTCCTATCAACCGCTCCGCATGCCTGTGGAACCAAACCCCCTCGCCACAAAACCTCCTTTACCCCCCCCTCAACCCTTCCTGGCCAACCCTCCCCGCTTCCCTTCCACTACAGACTGTACATTGAAGTCTTCTGTTTTGCCCCATTCTCTTTCATGTCCGAACCCCTCAACAACCCTTCCTAGCCCTTGGACAACAGTTTGGTAATCCCGCCCCTCTCCTAACTTAAAAATACGAATTTCTGCATTATATTACAACCATTGCCTCAGACATGACATTCCACTGCCTCCAGCCTTCCCTCGTTGCAACATTCATCACCCACGCTTCCCCCCATATAAGGCGTTGGTAAAATATACTCTCTTTACATTCCCCTTTGCCCCCCAAGGACAAAGTTCTTTGCTCCACAGACCTAAGTGCACCATCCTTTTTTTCCCCTCATCAATTTTTTGGATTCCCCCTCATTTTCTTAGCCCATCCGTGCCCGTCCACCCCCAAAATTTGAATAATTCACCCCCTCCATACTTTTCCCCCTCCAATCTGATACCCAATTTTCATCCAATTTTTTTGTTATCCTCAAAACCTTACTTTTTCCCTGTATTCCCCTTTTAAATTTTCTTTTTTTGCACCCCTCCCAAATTCATCCACCAATCTCTGCGCTTCTCTTCAGTTTTCCCCCAAGAGCCAGTGTCATCAGAAAAAGCAGCTGTGAAAACTCCCACTTTGTGTGTGATTCTTTATTTTTTAACTCCACCCCTCTTGCGCCGTGTGTTATATTGTCATAAATTTTTTCCCCCTAAAATTCTACCCCCCAACTACTTTTGATTGTCTTTGTTGTATTAACGACCATTTCCCTATGTTTTTAATTGTGTTTAATTAAACAGAATCTATTCC